CAATCCAGAAACCTCTATACTTGACACCGCCAGTGGAACAACTAATATATACAAATGTATAGGGTCGCTATAGAATGACGAGGCCTACTTGGTTCATTGACATTTAATTACGTGGAATTATCTATTGGAGAGGAATTTAGTTATGTTATATACTTTGTGACTTTACAATATATATTCAAGAACAATTCCGCATTCAACCCGATTGTTAAGATATATGAGTTAGCAACTCAATATTTTGAATAATATTATCGGAAAAAGAATTACTAAATTTGCCAATCTTATATTTTAGCATTTGAGTTTGAAACTATTCTTTTGCACTTAGGAATCTGGCATACATGCTAGAGTTGGAGTATGGTGGCGTCATTGTTCTAGGATCTCGGCCTTCTGTCGGGGGGCGACGAGTGTGTTAGGATGACTGGTGTTAGAGGTGGAGGCATGGCGGCTTCCGCCGGTGCAATGAGCAGGTGATTTTTGATGAATCTATAGTGTGTTGGCTTTTTGGGTTGCTTTCACTTTCGTTTTTATCAATAGTAGTCACAATTCTTCTGCGGTGACTTTGCTTAGATTCAGGTTCTTTGGCCTCTGTTCCATGGTGGCTGGCTTGTCGTTGATGTTTCTTCCAGTTTGGTTGGAGTCATTTATAGTTTTCTTAGTTTTTGTTAATTTTAATAAATGTGTTATTTTCGCCATGTTTATGTAATATAATAATGAATGTGGTTTCCCCACATTTCAATTTTCTTTGTACGTTACACCCGTTTGAGTTGGTTATCAACTGTGTATGTGTGTTCGTTTGTGACTAGATTTATTTATAAGTTGCTTCGCTTGTGTCCGTAATATTTCGAATTTAGTCTTGGTCTACTGATTTTATTCACCCCGACTATAGTAGTTATTTGTAATAAGTTTTGATCTCATCCGTCTTAATTGGTGAATCCATTCAATGTTCAGAGTTGAATTCTTTAGTAATTTGCGGCTATTATTAAATGTGTATTTTATTAATTTTGAAATGAAATTTTTCTGAAAAATGGGATAGGATTATAAGAGAATGAAGAAAACTGAAAAACTTAGAGAAGGGAAAATTTTCTTCTTCTTCTTCTTCTTTTTTTTTTTTTTTTTGGTTTATACTTCACGGATTAAACTTGACTTGATATATTGACTCATTTATAGCTTTTAGTTTGGCTTGGGAATGGATAACTAAGAACCTATATATTGATAATAAAAGTAGCTAGAAAACATATCCACTAAGAAACCACTTGGGGAGGAAAAAAAAATTATATATAATTATATGTTGTATTTTCCCCACTTCTTTGGGTGTTTATTAATTTCAACATGGTATTAAGAAAGCAGACAGAAATCACTTGAAAGCTATATATATATATATATATATATATATATAGAGAGAGAGAGAGAGAGAGAGAGAAATTT